AAGTTAAGTCATCAGCTAGGTAGAGTTCTTGCCTGGAGATTCTGGGGAAGGATCTGCTTCCGTGCTCACTCTTGCTGTTGGCAGCATTCATTTCTTGTGGCTGTAGGACTGAGGTCCCTGTTTCCTGGCTGGCTGTCGACTGGGGCCCATCTTAGACCCTGAGGGTCACGCATTTCTCCTGCCACATGGTCCCTCCATCTCCGAGTCAGCAATGGGACATCCAACCCTTATACACGGAGTCTCTGACCTCCTCTTCTTTGACCAGCCAGAGAAAACTCTGCTTTTAAAGGGCTCATGTGATTAGGTCCGGCATACCTGGGTAATCTCCCTATCCCAAGGTCAACCGGTCTGGGACTTCAATTACATCTGTAAATTCCCTTTACTGCAGTACCTAGATGAGCATTGGACTGGATAATGAGGTGTGTGTACACCCAGGGCCTGGCCTCTAGGGGGCGCATCTTGGAATCCTGCACCTACTTCTCAGGAAATTGTGAGGCCTAAGTTAGCAAGTGTATGTCAAGTACCTGGCACCTAACAGGCATGTCTCAGGTAGGAGGATTTGCATGCAAAGAACTACCAAGTTGAGCTCCCAGAGGGATGAGAAGTTGGTTGGGGTAAAAGGGGGCTGTCAGCAGTTGGGACCAATGGAACAGCTGGTGAGCATCTTCCAGTTCTTGGCCGTCGGGCTTCATTCTGACGCAGCTGGAGACCGGAAGTGCCATCCTCCTTGGATGAACACTGGTAACCTCCCTCGTTTAGGTCTTTGCCGTGCTGACCGCAATGAGAACTGAGCTTTGAAATGAGGGAGCAGGAACCTGGAAACGGCCTCTGGATGAGCTCTCTCTGAAACCATCTGCTTGGAGCTTTTGGCTCTGAGAAGAGTGGAGAGGTTTCCTCCAGCTACAAATCCAGGGATTCAGAAACCACTAAAATCACAGCTTTTCCCAACTGGCCAAGCAAGGCTCTAATTGGGAGAAAAGAGAAATGGAAGTCCAGATCCCCACTCCTTCTGCTAGCCACATACAGGTGGTGGCTGAGGCCCCTCTTCAAACCCCAGGAGGCTCATTTCCTTTCTCAGCCTGGCATCACTGGCGGAAGAATCGAACAAGGGGCCCAGGTCCTGCTGACTCTGGGTGAATGACAAATGGCCGGCACCCCTGAGTGAGACCCCGGGCTTTTATCTGCTCTGTGAGCTGAACTGCCTGTTCTCAATAACTGCGCTCCAAACGATCTGGGGCCAGCATGAGATAAGAAGGAAAGAGATAAAAAGGAGGGGATGAGAATAAAGAGATTTTATTTTCTATTCCCCGGATGCCACGGTGGGAAGCAGCTTTTTCTCCAGCAATTCCTCGACCAGACCACTCTCATGCCCAGCTGAATTCTTGCCCATCTCTTCTGGCATCACCGCCCC